GCTATATTGCAGTAAATTGCATGCCTTGGTTACTCTTATCCCATTTGATATTTGATGTGAGTTTGCTAGTGTGGTTATTTAAGTAAGTTGTTGATTCCAAGTTTGGGGGAGACGTCTTTCGAAATGAATCGCAATCGAGCTTCATGTCTTTGCCACCACGGTATACTCTTTCCATCTTTTCCATTGTTCTTATTGCACATTGAGGACAATGTGCAGTTTAAATTTGGGGGTAAGGTGACTTTGTTGCATTCTATTTAAGTTTGAGACTTAATTGTATGATTGAGATTTGGGATCCATGGTTAGCTATGATTTTGATCTTTTGAGGACTATATTGCTTAGAATTTAAAAATTACTTGACTTGAGAGTCCAATACTCCTTGTATGCCTTGTAGATGCCATTTAGAAGTAAATTTTTCGAAAGATTGATATCTTGCTTGCACTTGTGGTCCACATCATCCTAATTTTGTGATTGTTTTGAGATTCACTTTAGAATTCTACACTAGCACAGGCGCACACTAGCACTCATTTGTGGGGTACATGCTTTGTTGATTATCAAATTGGTTATATCCCAATTGGGCTAGTAGTACATTGAAAGCTTTCATTCTTGATAAAGGTGGATAACAACCCCTTTTCATTAAGTAGCCGAGATTCTAGCCTCATCAATTACTGAATTTCTCGCGCCGAAAGGTGGAGGGCCCAAACTCTAAGTTAATAAGTGAACTTACTTAAAAAAAAAAAGAAAAAGAAGAGAAAAAAATATTGCAAAAGCAATAAAAGTAAGGACTTCTCCCAAAAGGTGAGAAGTGAGAAATGATTAGATGGTAGTTGTCTTGATTTGTACCCTAGTTAATTTGAGCTTGTAAATCCGTAGGGGTGTTTGAACGCCCAATGCCCTAAAGCCGTCTGGTTTGGGAGTCATTGACCTAACGCTCGATCTCATGAATCGCTAGAAAGCTTAATAGATCACTACATTGCACCATGCTTCCATCTTTGATCCTAAAAAAAAAAAAAAAAAAAAAAAAAATCGAGTGAAAACAATAAGCGTACCTAAAACAATAAGCTTTAATAAAAGGTCCACTCTTTGTTTTGATGATCGGTACTAGATTTGTGTGCTAATTTGAGGGTAATGATGTGATTAATTCTTTAGTTGGCTTAGATAGCAACACACTTGATGCCGGTCTACTAAAAAAGGATTCTAGTGTTATTTTGATTTGCATGATCATTTTCTTGATGTGTGGAGGACCATACTTGCTTGCTTGATATTGAAATTTTGGGAGATTGCTTAGAAATGTTTGAAACATTGCATATTTGAGGTAGTTTTCTCCCAATGCTTGTTTGTAATATTGGTGCCTCTTTTGAAAGAATGAGCTTAATGTTTGTGGGTATCATTTCTGGAAACCCTCACGAGACTTTACTCATCCACTAGGGGTAACCTAGGGGTTTAAAAGGTTTGTTGCATATGCTAAATGCAATCGTGTTCCCTACGAAAGTGGCGTTATCCATTTATTGCTTTCTAGATTCATAGTTATATAGTTGTTCATTTCATTCCTTTACTTCCTAATTCATTGCTAGGGACTAGCAATATTTAAGTTTTGGGGTGTGATGAGCGCTGAAAAGTGCACATTTAAACCCCTTAAGCTTAGGTATTCAAGGACCTTTATCTATCTTATTTTCCCGCCTTAGATTGATTTCGTGTTATTTCCATTTTCAGGTACTTATCCCCAAAATAAGCTAACTCAGCCAAATTAGAGTAGAATGAAGTAATTTTGGGATGAATAAAAAAAATGAGCAAAGTAGAGCAAAAGGAAACAAAGGTGGAAATTCAGCAAGTTCGATCGATCTCACCTCAAGTTCGATCGATCGAACTCCCATCGATCTCAGCACTTCAAGATAGATCCAGGCCATGATATCATTTTCAGAGATCCCAAAAGTTCAATCGATCCAACATCATTCTTCGATCGATCGAACCTTCTTGTCTTTATCCAGATGCCAGATCTTATCCAGCTGTACCACCCTACCAACCGCTTTTGTCCTTTTCCTAAAAATATCTTCAAAATATCTCAGATTTGTTTTTATCCAGAAAGGCGCCGCCATTTAGGATCGATCCAACTTCAGTTCGATAGATCTCAGCCATGTTCGATCGATCCAACCTCAAGTTCGATCGATCGAATTTTCCAAATCCCGAGAAAATCCAAATTCTAGCTCACTAAAAGTTGTCTCATATCCAATCATTGAGGAATATTTGTTGTACGAGTCTAGCTCATTTTGGGTGATTTTTGACCTACCTATATAAGGAATATGAGCCACTTTTAGAGAAGATTGATATACTCATTCTTAGACACACTTAGAGGAAGAAAAGAGGAGGAGGAGGCTAAAGACACCATTGGAGACTCTTCATCAACCAAGGAACAAATCTCTACCATGGAGTAAGCCCTTAAGGGTTGGAGGACACCATCCATGAGTGGCTAGACATCCTCTTGGGGCTAGAGTTAGTCCTAAGCATGCTTTCCACATCTTGATTTATGTATTTTTGAAGGGATTTGTATTGTAATACTTGTTTTGACACTTTTATATATATAGATCTTGTCTATTCAATGATTTGTATGGTTTAATGCTTCCAATTGATCATTTCATTATATCTGTATGTTTATGTATGCGAGAATAGATGTTCATGTGTTTGTCTCTATTTCTTGTGTTGTTGATGCATGTCTATGTGTATTAATGCTATAAATCTAGAGATTGTCAAGACATAGTACTTAATGGAATGTCTTTGTGGTTTATTTGATGGTTCATACTTATTTCTTGATGGATTGTGCCTCTCCCTTAGTTTAATTAGTTTAATTTCATGTCATTAGCTTAGTTGTAGTATAGTGGTAGTTAGATGTTAAATGGGAGGACAATTCATGCTTGTTGTTTGATGTTCCATACTCATGAATGCTAGTGGCATATTGCTCTAATTTTGTGTTGTGTTTGGTTGTGAGTTTAAAGAAAGGATTAATGGCTTAATTTGATATGTTGTGCTATCCACTATGTTGCTTAGACAATATATGCGTAATTTGTCATCCATGCTTGTTGAAACAACCACACACACACCATTGTTATAATACATGCCTTTCCCCTCATTAATCATTCATTAAAGGTGTAGAAGAGTTGTACTTAGAGGTGATCTCTAAACCCTAAGATTTCTCTCTCTCTTATTTTACCTCTATTGCATTATTGTTTACTTTAGTTAAATTGCATCTTAGCTTAATTCAACCACCAACCAATCTTTTGATCACTCGACCTACTAACCCTAATTTGATTCCGCAACCCTTTTACGACCCTCACAATCCCTTGGGACGATCCCTACTTGCCATAACTATATTTTTAGTGAAAGGTAGTAGTGGCAAATTATAATTGTAGAACTTGACCACACTTATCTTAGTCCTCTTTTTGCACAAATTTGATTGCACCGCAACCAGCAAACACCACCTAATATCCTCAAATTAGCTTTTCAACAACAAGTTAAATCTTACATGGCCTTCTCATTACACCAATTGTTAAAAGCAATGGAGATTGGGCACTGTCGTCGGTGAAACGGCCCAGCAATGAACTATGTTTGAAGTTACCCGGGGCCGGGGGGGGGGGGGGGGGGGGGGGGGGGGAAGAAGATGAACCGTACCGGTGACACAAGGATACTTTTGTAATGGAGGTGCTCGGCGACGACGAGCTTTCCGGCGAGCCAAACCCAATTTTTTCGACAAGTTTCATCGACCCAAAACGAAATAGAGCTACATCAACCTCGACCCAACAGCGAGCTCAAAGAAACCACCCACGTTCGGAAAATCCCAACTTAGATCCACAAGATCCAAAAAACCACCCACATCAGAAGATTGTTTCAATGGTGCAAGATCGTGAAACGAATCTCATTCTCATCGACCGACTACAGTTCGGCCACTCCCTCGCGCTTGCGGCGTTCGCCCAATTGCCGAATTCCTTGCTTACGTTATCATAGTGTCGTCGTCATTTGGTCCGCCGGTAAGTTCAGTCCGGCCTTAGGCAACTAGGTTCACTTTCATACAGTATTGAAATTAGGAAAAAGAACAATTTCACTGTTTGGTTCAAGAGATAGGGTAACGTTTGGTGGGAGTTTGGTGTTTGGTTAAGCTTATATGGGATAAGGACAAAAAGGGTAACTTAGTCATGCCACTCATCTCTTTGGCTTTATCAGCCAACAATGTCTGACAGGAAATCATTTTTGCTAACGTGAGAGGGTCACTTTGAAGATTGTACATACTTCAGGGAGTGTAACTGAAGTTAACCCATTTTATTTTGGTTGGGCTTACTCTGGTGGGTTTCTTTGTCTTGAATTGGCTAAGCTTACAAATGGTTGCACTCGGTGTGAACCAGTGCATCCAAGGGTTGCACCTGGTGTGAACCTGTACACCCTATTTGAATAGGTTCCTTTAGTGTTGGTTCAGGTTAAACCATTGTGTTCCGTGGCTTTTCAGATTATTTGCAAATCACAACAAACTCATAAATTTTCTTCTCTAATTCTGAGTTTTCCTCTCTGCTTTTCTTCTTCTGTATTTGCATGCACAGTGTTACTGTGTTATCGAGAAATGGAATCCTTGTAAAATCACAAAGGAGAAGAAACTTCCAAGTTTTGTACATGCCAAATTATTTTGCTGTGTATCTTTGTTGCGCATGTCAAAGCCAACGAGTTACCAAACAATTTTTGTATTTGTTTATTTGTTTAATTTTTAAGATTTAAGATAAAAAGTAGTTTAAATTTCTTAAATAAAATATGGAGTAATGAAAAGAAAACCATAATGGTAATCTTCTCTTTTCTTTTCTTTTCCTTTTTTTTTTTTTTTTTTTTTTAATCCATAATGGTAATCAAGCAAGGAGAAAAAGTGCATAAAATAAGGCGTATAGAGTATCGATACTTACAGCGATTTCAAGTATAAATATCATAGCAATCAGAATCAGATCCCAAAAAAAATATATATAAAAATAAAAATAAAAATAAAAATAAAAATTGGTTTGAGGTTTTAACGGAATAAATTGTTCTTGCCGTGGGGAGGTAAAAAGCAAGGAGGGGGGTGGGGGGTAAATATCAGAAATCACAGAAGCTAGGGTTTTTATTTCGCGAAGAAGAGGTCAGACATGGCCGAAACTGTAACAGAAGTCCCCGATACCCTCACTGAGACGGAGAGGAACACCTCGTCCACGCAACTCATGGGCCTCAAAACCCTAAACGCCTCCGATCAAGCCCACGGTGATACGGCGGCGAACGGTGGCGAGTCGAACTCGAAGCGTGCCAGAGAGGATGGCACAGAGTCAGAGAAGGAAGACAATGGTGGTGTGAAGAAGCAGAAGGTTGAGAAATTGGAAGGAAACGAAGCAGCCGAGGTAGAGGAGTTGGGACGGGTGAGCTTAGGTCCGAAGAGTTTCGGATCTTCTGTGGAGATGTTCGATTACTTCTACAAGTTCCTTCATTACTGGCCCCCCAATCTCAATGCCAACAAGGTACCGTATATATTATAAACACCCCAGTTTTACATTAACATTATGCAGCCATGCTTTGCATATCAAGATCAAAGTCCCCATTATAATCTAGAAATTTTGTGTGAAAATTTTCATTTTCCACATGGGTTTATAGTTACTTCTGAAATTATTTTATTTCATTTTATTTTAACAAATTTATGGATGTGCTCACATTTTAGAAGTACTGCTGGTACATGTTTAAAGGGTGGGTGGCTTTATATGCTATATATTTGTGTTTGTCTGTGCTTGTTCTGTTTTGGATAAGTTAGTTCCCATTTCTATTTATGCTCTGTGATGGATGGCTAAAGATTTTAGAGTTTGAGGTTTGGACATTGTTGAAGGAGAATAAAAGAGAAGAAACAATAATAATGGAGAGAAATGGAATCCTTGTAAAAGGAGAAGAAACTTATAAGTTTTGTACGTGCCAAATTATTTTGCTGTGTATCTTTGTTGCGCATGTCAATACCAACGAGTTGGGGGTTATATGGAGGTCTTTGATACTAGAATTCATATAGTAATCCAGTACGAGTAGACTCGACACTCCACAATACTAGTTCAAATCCTTAAAAGGCATTCTCCCCACACAGTTTGACAGTTCTATATGTGTGTATATAAGGACAATCAAGAAAGAAAAAAGAGATCAGAAATTGTAATAAAACAATTATTTAAGAGCAGATGAATGGTGCTAGTCATGCTTACTTGAGTGGTTATGATGTTTATGAAGTAATTAGAATTTAGAAAATGAAACTATATAATATTGAATAGTACGACCTTGTGTACTAGAAGAATATCAAATTAAGTCCTTGGAGAATTAAAAGGGAATGGATCCTTATCTAAAGAAACTTTGGTGGAATTTGGATGTTCAAACTATAGTAAGGGGGAAAAAAAAAAGTCACGAAGCATGAAAATCTAGAAATGAAGAATATAAACATGATAGGAAGTAAAAAATAAATAAAAGGAGTAAGAGACGTTAACACGAAGTATAGAGTAGATGATATTCTAAATTAGTTACAATGGATGGGAAAAAGAACGCATATAAACTTGCTATATTGATTAAGAGGAAAATTAGAGATTTAATCATATAAAATGAATACAGAGTAAGGATTTAAGGGTCTTAGGAAAGATGATGAAATTACAAAAAGTTGAAAATGTTGCTTTCAGAAGTTGTTGAAATAAAATTATATGAGAAGTTTATGTTTAGAAAAAATATCGTAACTTTAGGAAGATAAGAGAAAACAAGTTTTTATTTAGGATTAGAGTGTGGTAGGTAAAAATACATTGAACAAGGTGAAAACATGAACAAGCTCCAAATGATATTCCTCTTCAGGTTTAGAAGTGTCCAGTAGATGATGTCTTGTTTTGAATCTTGATTAGTAAAATTATTTAATAAGATGATAAATATTAAGAAAATATTTGACAAGTGAGAAAGTATATTTTAATATTTGTATGCAAGAAAGATGGAAAAGTGAGTGGAAGGGATAGTAGAAAGGATGAATGCAGCATCCCTAGTGAAGGTAAGGTGTCTTCCTTTTTGTTTGATTGAATGGAAGGGATACTAGAAAGGATGGATGAGGTGTCTCATTTCTTTGTTTGGTTAGAAGGAAGGAAGGAGAGATTTTATATTTTTCTACCTTTATACCCTCATTATATAATTTGATAAAAAATAATGTCACTCACATGATACATAATAGTAATCCTTCTCTTTCCTCCTCTATTCCGTCCAATTTTGAGGCGATGAAAATTAATGGGTAAGGTTGGATGGCTCATCCCTCCATCCTTCCCTTGCCCCAGCCATCCCTCCTACCAAACAATAGAAACTATTTCTATCCCTCCATCCTTCCCTCCCTCTCTGGTGCTTCCCTCCTACAAAATAGAGCATAAAGGAACATTCAAAGTTGTAAAGACTATACTCATAATATAAAACTTAAGGGATACGGTGATTGAACGACCATGAAATGAAATAATATTTCTGGGACATCAATATGGATTTATGCAATAGAAGTTAAAAATGAAGCTACTTACTTATTAAAGAGACTAATGGAAAGATGTAAGGAGAATACATCCCTTAATCCATAATACCTTATACCATTCATCCCAGTCCCAATAACACCTTAAGCCATTCATCCGTATTCTAATAACTCTTGACCAGAGTAATTTGACCTTATTTGTGACTTTGAACCTATTTGACAGCGTAAAAAACCACTTATTTCTTGGGTTTAATAACCCATAGGGCACACCGCCGCCATACTTACGCCAAATAATGTGCTGTTCAAGGCTTTGCGGTTTCACCCTCAACCACCGTGCAAACGTTCCTTAGGCAGTCTAAAAGAGGAATTAAGATGTTTCTTATGGTTTCTATAAATTTGAAGAATGGAGATGGCATATAATAATGACCCTAGAATATTATTATGGTGGATTCATGAAAGAGAGAACGTCCCAAATAGATTTATTGACATGAAAAAGGTGTATATAATGGAGCTTTGGCTATAATAAACAATTTTATGAGAAATAAGTTAATTTCCAATTAGTGTAAGCTTTAAAAGAGGGATTAATATTAAGCCTCAGGGTTTTTCCCTTAATAATGGGTAAATTAACAAAATCGATACACAATGAGTTACATACATAGTATATAGTATTTTTTGATATTGTTTTGATTGATGAAACAAAAGAAGGGATCCATGGTAAATTAGATGTTTAGTGAGAAGATGTGTACAATCTAGAGGGCTTAAGATACACTCTTTTCTATATATATACACAGACACTCTGTTCTATGACTTTCTTCAAATTTGGGTCATCTAGTGATTATTTACGAGTTATATATATTGTAGTGGTGGGCTGCAAACACCGGTTTTACATTAATATAGATATAAAGCTATTTTATGCATATCAGGATCAAAGTCCCCATTATAATCTAGAATTTTGTCTCTGTAAAAATTTTCATTTTTTCATATGGATTTATAGTTACTTTGTTTTTTAATATTTAGTATTATATGATTAAGGTTTTATATCTTCGACTTCTTAAATTATTTATTTTTATTTTTATTTCATTTTGTATTTACGAATTTATGGATGTATATACAATTTTTTTTCTATGTTAATATTCTGCAATTTAACTGTCTTTTAATTGCTTGGTTATTCAGAACTCCTATAATTCATGTTATTTCATGTAGAAGTATGTAACACCTCATAGTAACATATGAAGTCCATGGTTTTAAATTGCATCTGCTAATTTACTTTTGCCTGTTATTGGATTGCAGTATGAGCACATGGTGTTGTTCGACTTACTCAAGAAGGGTCATCTGGAGCCAGAGGAAAAGATTGGTAAGGGGATCCATGCTTTTCAAGTCCGATTCCATCCACAGTGGAAAAGTCGCTGCTTCTTCCTCGTAAGGAATGACGAATCCTTTGATGATTTCAGCTTCCGGAAGTGTGTGGATCACATTATTCCCTTGCCGGAAGACATGCAAATAAAAGCTATCGTCAACAGGGCATTGGGTCGAAGCAACAGAGATCGCGAGGGAGAAAAAGCTAGTGGTGGTGGTGTTGGTGGTGGTGGTGGAGGAGGAGGATGTGGCCGTGGCCTTAGCCGTGGTCGTGGCCCTCCGGAAGACACGCAAATAAAAGCTATCGTCAACAGGGCATTGGGTGGAAGCAATAGAGGTCGCGAGGGAGAAAAAGCTAGTGGTGGTGGTGGTGGTGGTGGAGGAGGAGGATGTGGCCGAGGCCGAGGCCGTGGCCGTGGCCGTGGCCTTAGCCGTGGTCGTGGCCATGGAAGAGGGGGTAAGTTGAGGAGCTGACGAACATGCCCTTTCTATTCTACATGGGGTGGAATTGGATTTAGATTTTAAAAATATGTAATACTTCAGTGCTATCCAAATTTTGACTATTAATTTCGTGTGGTTGATGTTGGAAATTATTCGAGGTTGTAATGTGTTTCTTGAGAACCAGAATTTTGTAGCTCGTGACAGGAAATATCAGGCCATTTTAGAAGTAGCGCCTGTAAGCTGTCTGGGACGGTTCAATCCCTGATTAAACAGACAGGTTGAACCAGGTTTAGACAAGTATTGATTTTTAATATTCAAGAAAATGATAAAAAATATAAAAATAAAATAAAAAAATATACTAGAAACGAAATTGCATTTGGTTGTGGCGATATCCATTGGTAACTTTGTTCGGTAAAGATGATACAGGAATGAAAGAGAATATTTTGTTATATATTTTTATCTGCTTAAAAATGAAGAGAATATTATCTTAAATTATACAAATTTTAAATTATAATATTATTATAATATAATATTGGATATAATGATAAAAATAATTAAAAAATTTTCTTTCCTTCTTTCTTAGTAAATTATAAGTTTATTCTCTTCTCTTCTATCCAACCGAATAAGAAAAAAGAAATACATAATCACTTTTTTAGGGATATTTTATCCATCCATTCTTCTGTCCATTCTATCTTATCTTTTTCTTTCCTATCGAACTGAGCATTATAAAGGTTGAAAAAAATTTCAAAATAATTCTATAAAAATAAGTTTCTTTTAACCAACTAAACTAAACAAACTCTAATATCCTTTTTGGATTTAGAAAATCAGATTAGAAAATGTCATTAAATTAATAATACAACACCTTTATACTGATATACAGTGATTGCATAGTAGGTTGCATACACTATTTTGAAGCCCAAAAGGAAAAATGAAAACAGAAAATTTGAGTCTTTAAAATGTTTGGGGGGGCCTAAATGGTCTTGTTTTGCTGGGCCTTGTTTGGTTACCTAGTAGCACCTTTTTCTTTCGGCTCTTCCACATAGAGCTTCACTTGGCCCTTTTTCAGGCCCAAACTTGTAATTACGTTTTCATATATACAATTGTTTAACCTTTCCAAAAAACAAAAACTAAAGGAGAGTAAGGAGAAAAACCTCTAGTTTCATAGTCCTCATTTGAAAAAGAAAAATAATGTTCTTTTAATACTATAAATTATATTTCGATCAAGAAAGAAAATTCTTTCCTTTTTTATTTAAATTTTTTGTCATGAACTCTCAACATTTCACTTTAAAAAACAAAAGAGATGCCACTTATTGCAATACGTTAAATATATATATATATCAACCTCTCTCTCCTTAGTTTATGTAATGAACGCATATATATATATCAACCTCTCTCTCCTTAGTTTATGTAATGAACGCACCACCACTTGCAATGAAGGGGAGAAATAAATTTAGTAATACTAGTAAATAAGTATAATTAACATGTTCAATTGTAACTCCTTCAGAAGTTATCTAGTAAATGATAAATTATTATTAAATGACTTAATTATTAAGTTCTAGTACTTGGTACGTTACATTTTCATATTGCCAAAAATAATAGCTCTCCTAACGAAAACATGGCCTTCAAATGTTATGAGTCAACCCATAAAATCAAATTGAGTCAAGTCAATCTAAAATTAAAGTTATATAAACATATTCGTTATATACATATGTAAAAAATTAAAAATTAAAAAAAATTTAAAAAAAATGGCCTAAACGATATGGATTATCAAGTGTAATAATTAAGCTGTTTTTAGCAACGTGGTTGAGAAATTCATTGTGTTTTGTGTAATAATTTTCATGATGAACGTAGGTCTGCGCAGCAGCCCACAAGCTTGTAGTCTGCCACTTGGCAAACATGCAGAACAAGAACAAATATATATATATATATATATATATATATATATATATATATATATATAAAAGCAAAAGGGGAGTGGGGATCAATTGTGAATATCTTCAAATTTGCATTGGAATCTAGCACCGTATCTTGAACTGATAAGGTATAATGTGATATAAGGATAAAACTTAGGTTCAAATCTGGCATAGGAAAGAAAATTACCATTAAATGTTTTATTTGATGAATTTCATTGTGACAAATATATAGTAATAAAAATAGTTTAATTTAACTACGTGATTAGTATCGAATGAATCAATCTATATACGTTAAACTATCTCTTAATCATGTAACTGACTAAATAGCCCACAAACACAGTAATCAATAGGAGTAATAAATATTCCTTGTGCATGCATGCATGAATATGCTGTTTTATACATGGGACGCTACACGATCTCCAACACAGTAATCACTACTATTACATTCATATATATGTATATATATAGATATACATATACATATACACTGCGTAAGATAGAGTGGCTAGTCTTCTCCCCTCATACTCTGTCTCTCTCCCCTTCAGTACTCTATCTGTGTCCAGATGGGAAGTGAGTCGCTTAATGACGTGTGGTCGAAATATGAAGTAAAGGCCAATGAAGAAGAGGAACAAGTGCTCTCCTATCCAAATGAACTTCAACTACCACCTCTTGATTGCAGGTAATGTTTTTTTCTACAGCAATTCAACCAATTAATATTCAAAAATTACTATTTATATATATACACACACACACACATATACGTGCAATGTAATTTAACTTGTCTTCTCTGTCCATTTTTTTGAAGCTGGAGTACCTCCGCATTGAATTGGCAATATGGTCATTTGGCAGTACCAGCTGAGAGTGCTTTAAATGCTTTGTCTCTGATGGAGACCTTCCCAATCGATCCTTTGTATTCATCATTGGACCTTATCCCAAACCCAACTTTAATCCAAGGTCATAATCACATCAATATATATATCTATAGACAATTACTGCTATATATATATATATATATATATATATATATATATATATATATATATATATGATGTTGTATTGTTAATTTGCAGAAGAATTCTTGTGTGATTATGGAGATGTGTTCGGAGTTTGGAACTACGAAATGGGTAGTAGTGGATTTGAGGTTCAGAACAAGCCATTACTTTTGGATGACAATGATATTGATACTGAACACAGGACTGTGGAAGAGAGGAAGGTTCGGGGATCGAGATCGGAGAGGAACATTAACAGCTCCAAGATGCTGTCTAGAGAGACTGTTTCGCAATACTTCTACATGCCCATAGCCCAAGCAGCAAAGGAGCTCAACATTGGCTTGACACACTTCAAGAAGAGGTGTAGGGAGTTGGGCATCAGTAGGTGGCCACACAGAAAGCTGACGAGCCTTCAAAATTTAATCAACAATGTCCAAGTAAATCTCAATCCCTCTAGTTATTTTATGTTTTTCTCCTACTTCTTTGAGCACTTCATAATCCACCAAAGCAACATCGGCTAATAATTCAAAAAATCATACTCTCTTTTAAAATTACTAAGTGATCATTTTAAATTTATATATATAAAATAAAGATTGAAATTTTTTTTAAAATGGTATTTATGAAAAAACAAAAATGCTTTTATATTGGAACACTCTTAAAAGGAACAATAGACTATTAAATTAAGAAGGAGATAGTTATTTTATTTTATTTTATTTTTTTGTCCGACATGATGGTACTGTGTAAGGCCTAGCTTCTATTTTTTTTTTTTTTTGGTGGTACTCACTTACATATATTCCTACTAAGGCTCGAACTCATAACCCGCTTTTAAAAAATACGACTCGTGTCACTTGTCTGTTGGTTGAGGCCTAGCTTTTAGACCACCTATAATTCACCACAGTTTTCATGTGTACTTGCGCGCACAAAACAAACAGACACACGCATACATGATATTTTTATCCACATGTATATATATTTCATATATATGTATTTTTGTATATATTGAATATGAAGGAAATGGAGACGGAAGAATTGGGAGAGGGGGCAGAAGGGAAGTTGAGAGAGGCCATGGAAATATTGGAGAGAGAGAGGAAGTTGATTGAAGAGGTGCCTGATATTCAACTTGAGGACAAAATAAAGAGGCTGAGACAAGCATGTTTCAAGGCTAACTATAAGAAGAGGAAGCTGATGAAGGTTCCAGAGTCTTCTTCTAGCAGCAACCGTGGCGCAGTACTTAGTACACGTGCTAACCAAGTTCATGGGAATGGGACTAAGGATGACGACGACGAGGATGATGAAGAGATTAAGTCTCTTTTGTCTGATTGTCATTCCTCTACTGCTATAATGTTTTAAATCAAATCTGAACCTTTTTTTATTTGATGGACCTCTATCTGTTTTAATTTTATCTTTTTTGGGTTGGTTATAAATTTATGAGCAAAAGTCAGAAATATAAGTTCTGACTCATAAAGAAGTTCTGGTTTTAAAATTTCAGGACCATTAAGTACTATTAACGAATGAAATTCTCGTTCATTGATAGAATTTGATGTTCTATTTGTAAAATTAGGATCTCTTAGTAAATTATTATTATTATTATTATTTTTTAAAAAAGGGTAATTGACCGCACAGTGCAGGTAGTGTACTAAAAGAGAAATAATACGGAGTAATCTAAATTATGGAGATCCTCAATGTTAATGGTGCTTGAAGATGGCTTACAAATTAATGGAAACTTTGCTAAATCTATGAATGTTTAGGAATTTGTTTGCACCCTAAAAATAAATTTTAATTCAGTCACATGCCATCTAATAATTTGACAAAAGTTCTTACTTCAATTAATTAAAATTAATTAATTATTGGATGACTTTTTATGATAGGCTGTAATAATAAATGATTATTTACCGTTGGTGCAAACACTTAGGTCATTTGGATAAGCAGTAAAATGAGTATATGTGGATAAGCTTAAGACAAAATGAAGTGTATTTGGATAAGGAAGTTTTTTATTTATTTATTTTTATTTTAATTCAAATATAATATTTGAATTTGGAAAGGAAACTTCTTTTAGTAACGGCTTGGACCCTCAACTATAAATAGAAGAAGAAGGCCTTGTGCAAAAAGTGCCCGACCACACAAAACATTATTCATTATCTACAATTTCATACTTAGTCTTTCATTTGTACTTCTTTTCTTAGGAGTAGTTATGTTAGAATCCAATTCTTGTACTTGTATCACTTGTGTAAAAATTTCAGTTATGAAATAAGATGGACGCTAGTACTTAAATGTTTCCTCCATTGTTATTTTATAAGTTTATTGGAATTGATGAAACATCATTCAAGAATTGTTTTTGATCCAATTCGTAGGAATCAATAGAAAAGGCGAATCCCTTATGATACACCAGATCCGGCTCGGTTATTGATAAAGTGAATAGATCTACCATTTCTTGAAATCTCTCTTCTGATTCAAAATCGTGGTGTAACGTGTATCCTCGCTTGTGCAGTTAGTGTTGCTCCCTTCATCCAATTCCTGCTTTTATTTTATTTTATTTTATTTTGTTAAAAGTCCTCTTAATTAAGGCGTTGAAGAACCTGAAGAAATGGGTCATCCTTACCTTCCAGCAGTCGCCTGATTCACTAAGGGCCGATTTTAGATTCGGTCAGCATTAAAAATAGTTTGACTATCCAACCCCTTGAGTCGAAAGACTCTAGGACATCCCTAAAAAAAAAAAAAAGAGCCAAACAATTTGGCATGCCCAGTGGAACTTCCCCGGAAGGGTTGAAAATCAGAAGCACTGAAGTATTGAAAATCAGAGCCGCTAAAAAACAGATGTGCTGAAATTCTAAACATTTTGATTCATAGTGATTATCAATTTACAATATCAAAAGTTTCCTTATCAACAGTCTTCTCATCAAGAAAAAGAGGCTAATCGAACTCGGAGTGAATCAACAACCGAGTGATAAAATATTGGCTGAAAGCATAAAAAATTTAACAAAAAGTATGGAGATTACTTACCGTAATTTCCTTAATACAATCAAGCCAATACAAAATACATTAGCAAATTTAAATAATTCACTGGCCATTTTGTCAACAAGATTTAATCATGTTATGGGATGGCCAAATGCAAGTGAACAGTTGTTGAATGCACAGCAACAAGTTCCAGCACCTGATGGGGTTCAACAGAATTACTACCAACAACAGCAGTAAGGGTTTCAACCCCTTCTACAGCCGTTGCATAGACGGTATCAACCCCAGGCTAATCAACAGCATGTTAATCAGCTGCAACATCAGATACCAGCGAAGTATCAACAATCGAAGGGGCCAATCAGAATATGAATTGGCTACCACTTAATCCGATGTGTCAGCTCCAAGAGGGGCTAGATAATTTTAATACTGGTTTTAATTTTCCAATGCCTCATCCTCAAGTGTCGTATGTGCCTCAGTCTCAAGTACCTTATATGCATCAGCCTCAAGCACAACAGCCAAATCATCAACACCTTATGGTTGATAGAAATCAATTGGCTAATTTAATTCAAGAAACTTTGGACCAGCCCTAAGAAGAGTTGGTCGCCTTACATATGGGAAGCCATATCCGGGTTATATAGACCGATATGCGTTTCCAAGAGGTTATAAAGTTCCCGATTTCGTTACCTTTTCGGGAGAAGACTCCATTTCGACCATAGAATATATTGGTCGGTTTACCATTCAATGCATGTGGCGAGGCTGGAACAAATGAATTCTTAAAATTAAGGCTATTTTCTAATTCCCTTAAAGGGACCACATTTTCTTGGTTTATTAGTTTACCGGAAAATTCGGTCTATATTTGGTAACAATTGAAAGAAATGTTTCATACCCAATTTTATAAGATCGAACTAAAGGTGTCGATGGTTGACTTATCTAGGGTCTCTCAAATGCCTGGAGAGATGCTTGAAGCCTTTATTGGTAGGTTTAAAATGGCAAAACACAAATGCCAAGTAGCCCTTCCAGAAACTGAATATGTGAGTTTAGCCTTGAATGGTTTAGACTTTGAATTACGAAGGAAATTTGAGGGAATGCAATTTCGGGACTTGTTCCAACTAGCCTTTAGTGCTACAAGATATGAAAAGGTCTTAAAAGAAGAACAAGATAGAAGAATGACTCTAGGGGTACCTATTATATGGACCCAAATTATGAAATTCATGTGACAGAGGCGTCGAATAATAATTATGTCAAAAATCCTACTTATAAGATTCATTTGACAAAGGTTGAAATTGGCATTTAAGTTGATGCTGCAGAACTGATAAATATCAAGCTTTACATATGTCAAGCGTCAAAAAAGCTTCTAAAAAGGGTTAATGGTGTTCAGGTGTCGAATTTAATAATCAAAAGGATACCAAAAGAGGCTGAAAAATAATCTAATTTTGAACCAAGGCTTACTTGGCCTTGGGGGGCTACTCATTCGGCCTTAAGAAACCCCAAGAGTATGAAAGAATTTTCATTTGATCCTGGAGAACCCATTAGGTTGTTTAACCACTTGGTGTACCAAAGAAGAATCAGTTATTGTGACCAATTTAAATTATGAGTTGTTGATTGACAGCTAAATATGCACATTTTGGTTGCAAATGTCAACAATTTGGTGCTGAGATTGGAAATTACCCGGGAGCTAAACACAATTAGCCTCTACATAATTCAATCCTACACTTAGACCACTTACTTGTCACTTTGATGGCAAGGGTTGATCAGCACCTCAATTGATTAAGTGCTCAAAACGATTGTATGATGAATGTGCCGTAGTTAGGATGTGGCTGAAAGATTGCTAATAAGCGAAATAAAAAAAAGGGGCAGATGGTAATAAGGTGCTGATCGAAAAAACAATCGAAGAATTGTCAGAAGATGTAGGAATTGGTTAGATATGCGAATGGCCGAATAAGAGTGACTGATTTAAATTGTGATCCATCAGTTTAACTCTTTAAAATTTCGATCTGCCCTTATTTCAATGAGCTGGGGTCATTGTTTGCACCCTAAAAATAAATTTTAATTCGGCCACATGGTATCGAATAATTTGACAAAAGTTCTTACTTTAATTAATTAAAATTAATTAATTGTTGGATGACTTCTTATGATCGGCTGTAATAATAAATGATTATTTTCAGTTGATGCAAATACCTAGGACTCTTATTCAAATTGGAGTCTAAAATTACGAATTACAGCTACGTCAGTTTGATTCCAAAAAATACGTTCATTTGGATAAGCAGTAAAATAAGTGTATGTGGATAAGCTTAAGACAAAATGAAGTGTATTTGGATAAGGAAGTTTTTTTTTTTTTTTTTTTTTTTTTTTTTTAATTCAAATATAATATTTGAATTTGGAAAGGAAACTTCTTTTAGTAACTGCTTGAAGCCTCAACTATAAATTGAAGAAGAAGGTCTTATGCAAAAGGTCCCCGACCGACCACACAACGCAATATTCATTCTCTGCAATTTCATACTTAGTCTTTCATTTACATTGTACTTCTTTTCTCAAGAGTAGTGCTGTTAGAATCCAATTCTTGTACTTGTATCACTTGTGTAAGAATTTCAGTTATGAAATAAGATGGACTTTAGTACTTAAGTGTTCCTTCCATTGTTATTTTATAAGTTTATTTGGGATTGATGAACGCTTGTGCAGTTAGTGTTGCTCCTATCATCCAATTTCAGTCTTTATTTTATTTTTTTTTGTTAAAAGTCCTCTTAATTGAGGCATTGAAGAACCTGAAGGAAGGGGTCATCTTTATCTTCCAGCAGTCGCCTAATTCATTAAAAACCAATTTCAGATTCGGTCAGCACCAAGGATAGTTTGATTATCCAACCCCTTGAGTTGAAAGATTCTGACACGTTCCTAAAAAGAATAAAATTTAATTAGAAAAATTTTAGGAACTAAATATCAGTTTAAAAATAATAAAAAAAAAAATTCAATTAAAAAAGAGAACAAAGCAAACTTTTTGAGTTGGAATGTGGACTTTTTTCTCTTCTTCACTCCTATCACCCAGTCATCATTCTGTGCCTGCCTTCAACCCTCAACTATGTTGATTCAACTATGCCGATTTCGATTTCCTTTTCAACCGATGAGAAGGACATGTTGTGTCATCTACGGTAAGGTAACCTTTCTTTTCTCTCTTAAGAGAATCTAAAGTGGATTCCTTGACTCCTTATGTGTAGCTTCGCGATATCGTTGTCGTACAAAGGCTTGAACTCCATTATTGATTCAGTCCCGATTCAGCTATTCTTCCTCAGCAGTATAGGCGCCAAAGAAAACGTAACAATTCTGATTGTGGAACAGTTTTACTATTAATTGGTGGGACCCATTGGTGGATTTTCATTGACAGTGCATACCAATGAGATAGCAAGTTCGACTCACTTAGTATCTTCTTCTCATTAAACGATGTAATGTGCCTTGTCACATTTATTATCACCGAATAAAACCATCCCAGGTTATTGTTTGATCCTTCAGGGAAATAACATAACATCTTTTCCGTTCAATTACTTATTCAAAAACCTTGTTTGGAGACTAATTGCCCATTTAGTGATGGATGCTACCACTTATGAAATTTCTTCATGTCATTGACCACCTAATATGTGAGTATATGTATCACTTTTATTTAGGGCCTGTTTAGTAATGATTTTACTTTTTAATTTTTACTGTCAATTCCTAAAATTGTAAAGTAAAAGTGAAAATTATGTTTAGTAATATATTTTTACTTTTTATCTATTAGAAAGTTTTTTCAGATTTAAAGAAGGAGAGAAAAAGTGAAGATTTGTTACTTTTTTTACTTTCTACACTGTTTATCAGAAGTAATTTCTCTATTGTAGCATTATTTATCAAAAAAAAAAAAAAACTCAAAAATTATTATCACCAATCTCCACGCTGCCTCCCCCGACCATGGCCACCGCCCTATCGCCGCCGCCATCACCTCCACCCACCTCCTCCCCTTGTTCGCATATTTCCTTGGATTTAGTCTTAATTGAAGCACACTTTTAAGGAAAAGGAAGACGAAGATTAGGAGAGTGATGGCGTGCGCTGATCTGCAGTGGAGAATTTGCCCAGAGGCTTCTCAGATCGGAGGTGAACAGAAAGCTCCATTCGCAGAAGATCGTAATTTCCGAGAACGACCACTTTGTGGTGGTGGATACCAAAACCACCAACTCAATAATGTTGGAAACGCCGTGGGAGGTGCAGAGAGGATCTGCCTCAAGAGTGATTTGCGGCTGCGAGGAAGGGTTGTTGCTCGTTCAGTCCAGAATGAAGATGCTTAATTTGTGGAACCCTAGAATTGGAAGGCAATTCTTCATGAACTTTCAAGTTTCCAAAACAGAGAGGTACGACATGATATTTGACCGATCAAGAAACCCTACGATTGCAGCAATGATGATATATATATATATATATATATATATATATATATATATATATATATATATATATAACATTAATTGTCAAATCAAGAGCAAAATCAAAATTATAATTATTAAATTTGCTTTCTAATTTCTTATTTCAAAAATATTGAAATCATAACAAATTAATAAATATAATTTTACTTTATATTTTAACTTTAGAAATGAAAAATATGATTTTACTTTTGAAGAAAGTAAAAATAAGAAAATAAAAGTGTCAATAAACGGGCCCTTAGTTTTTTTATTTATGTGTCAAATTATAATTGACCGAAATGTGTATTTTCAACCCAATGTGCTCCCCTCAATCACAACCCAATATGATTCCCTGTGGGCTCCTGACCTTTTATATTTTATTTTATTGTAGGCCCTAATCGTGTATATTCTCTCTTCTTGTATTTCATGGGCCGACATAAAGATAATATTAAAAGAGTAGAATGAGATTGTGTAAACAAAAAATATAAAGATAATGTTGAAAGACTGGAATGAGATTGTGCAAACAAAAATTTGGTTGCTTTGGTTGCTTTCAGAAGGAAAGGAAGGATAAAAAAAATAAACCCCGTAAAAAATTAGAAATGCCTATCTTTAGGTATTTTAAAATTTTTAAACAAGTGTTTTAACTTCGCCTCACTTGAAAGGATAAACATGAGTAGGCCTAAGTATTGTCTTTTTGTAATTTCATTTGATAGATGTAGTGCGGCGTTAGCCAAATGTGTAAATACAGATTCATAAACACACTATCTTGACGGTAATTCAAATGTTTATGCTACATATTAAACCATGCAAAATCAAATAGAATCCGCACTCGCGACCAACATTTGATTCACACGGTGCCAATGACAGCAATTTCACATCACCTCCATTCATATCGTTCTTCTCTCTCTAACCTCAATTCCCACTACCGTCTCTCTCCTCGTTTCGCCTCCGCTTCAGCTTCCCACCTTCATCGGCCTCCCTGTCAAGCATTTCACAACCCCCAACAACTGGCATTGATCAAACCAACTATACAACTCTTATCAACTGGCCAAACAGAAAAAACACTGATTTCACTCATAAAATCATGTTCTTCAAAAACCCAATTGCTTCAAATCCATGCCCACCTCGTCCGTACGTCTCTCCTTCAAGACCCGACAATCTCACTCACCTTCTTGATCCGCGTTGCTCTCTGGACATCACGCAATTTTGGCTATTCCCGCCGAATTTTCTCTCACATCTCAGAACCCAATGTTTCTCACTACAACACCATGATCAGAGCTTGTTTGAAAAACAATTCCCCTGAGGAAGGGTTTAAATTGTATCGAGAAATGCAATGGCGAGGTATGCGTCCCGACCCACTATCTTCTTCGTTTGCTATTAAGTCATGCGTTAAGATTTCTTCATTATTTGGAGGGTTACAGATTCATGCTAGGGTTTTGAGAGATGGGCATCAATCTGATAGACTCTTGCTCACTACTTTGATGGATTTGTATTCGACTTGCCGCAAGTGTGACGAAGCATGTAAGGTGTTTGATGAAATCTCTGAAAGAGATGCAGTGACTTGGAATGTCCTGATTTCTTGCTACACTCGTAATGGTCGAACTCGGGATGCTACGGGTGTATTTGATATGATGCAGAGCACTCCAAATGGTTCTGAACCGGATGATGTTACTTGTTTGCTTGTACTTCAGGCGTGTGCCAACTTGGGTGAATTGGAATTTGGTGAGCGGGTTCATAAATACATTCAAGAACATGGATATGGAGATGCCCTCAATCTGTGTAATTCTCTAGTAGCAATGTACTCGAGATGTGGGTGTCTGGAGAAAGCTTATCAGGTGTTTAAGGAAATGAACAGTAGAGATGTGGTTTCTTGGAGTGCAATGATTTCGGGTTTTGCAAGCAATGGATATGGTAGAGAAGCTATTGAAGCATTCAGAGAGATGCAGAGATTGGGTGTTTCCCCGGATGATCAGACTTTCACAGGGGTTCTTTCTGCTTGCAGTCACTCTGGGCTGGTTGATGAAGGTTGGATGTTTTTCGATTGTATGAGCAAAGAGTTTGGGATAGTACCTAACGTCCACCACTATGGGTGCATGGTTGATCTCATGGGTCGTGCTGGTTTGCTTGACCAGGCCTATGAGCTTATCATTTCGATGGGGGTCAAACCAGATGCAACAATTTGGAGGACTCTACTTGGAGCTTGCAGAATTCACGGCCATGTCACCCTTGGAGAGTCTGTAATTGGGCATTTGATTCAACTTAATGCTCAAGAAGCAGGGGATTATGTTCTGTTGTTAAATATTTATTCTTCAGTTGGAAACTGGGAGAAGGTGACGGAATTGAGGAAATTGATGAAGGAGAAAGCAATCCACACCACACCTGGCTGTAGTACAGTTAACCTGAAAGGAGAAGTACACGAGTTTGTCGTGGATGATAATTCACATCCACGAAAGGACGAGATTTATGAGATGTTGGATGAGATTGGAAAGCAACTGAAGATTGCTGGTTATGTTCCTGAAATAACATCTGAGTTACATAATTTGGGTGCAGAAGAAAAGGAGACAAGGCTATGTTATCACAGTGAGAAGTTGGCCATTGCTTTTGTAGTTCTTGCAACTCCACCTGGCACAACAATAAGAGTGGCAAAGAACCTCCGAATCTGTGTTGATTGCCACAATTTTGCAAAGGTACTTTCCGGGGTTTATAATCGGAAGGTGATTATTAGAGATCGTACCCAGTTCCATCATTTCCGAGAAGGACACTGCTCCTGCAATGACTATTGGTAGGGAAATCTAGGTTTGAAACACATACTGAAACATAAGTGGAGTGCAGCATTAGGTAAAATCTGCATCCTAATCTTATCACAAGTGAATTTCAGTTTCCAGAAAACACATTACAGAATCACGTCTCAAGGAACTCAGCTAAAAAATTCCTCAATTGGTTATGCAAACGAATCCTTGTGTAATGTGGTGGCATGACAGACATTAAAGAAAAGCAATGTATCATAACAGATTGTGTAAAAGCCTAGAGATAAGGGTTTTTTTGCCTTCCACTGAAGTGTAAGAACCTAAAGAGTGGGACAAATGCTTTGATGAGTTGAGTTGGTTGCACTGAGGCGATGTAGGATCTCAAAAAGTATGTTTTGATCAGTGCATCAAGGAATGTGTATGCCAAATGGCTGCATTACTGATTGCAGCCTTGTTTAATCTATAAATTTCTGATGTTAAACTTCATGTATGGGAACTAAAGTTCTAAGCTTGCCCCTTGGATACTGTCATGAAATCGCTACTGCTGAAATTCGGACACTTAACATGTCCACCATTATGGTCCAAGTCTTTTTTTGTTGAGGTTTGACGGATATTCTAATTCCTAAAATCTTTAATCAGGGGAGTTTTTATCAGTATCTTGTTGATTTCTAAATTTTATACAAAAGATTTAGTTTGCCCTAGAAATTGGAGAACACTTGGGTGGGTTCATTTTTGGTCTGTGTGAGAAATGGGACTCGTGTTTGAAACAAATTAAGGTAAAAGAGGAAAAAAAAAAAAAAAAAAAATCACACTTGCTATGGTTGTATATAACAAATGCTTTCTATGTTATAGGTAATACTGACGAGGTTTCCGAAGTTGTGAATTAAGATTGCCTGAATACAAGGACTGTACATCCAATGAATTTGAAAGGCACTTCTATTTTATCATGCAGGGTCTTCATTTCTTTTAGGTTTTGCACTATATATTTCTTCTTCAAAAATGAAAATGTGACTGATCATAATTCTTGTGCTGTTGAGGGTCAATTTTTTATTTATTTTTATTAAAAGAATTGAAGGCATTTCGTAGTTTGCTGTTTTGTAGGTTAGAAAACGAGCATGGTTTTTGACTCCCGTGGAGTTTCATCACGCTTTCATATCTTCGGCTGTTAATTTAGGCCGTTTGGTAACTATTTATGTTTACTATCTATTGTTGAGATGTTAATTATCATATCATGACTGAAGTTATATGTGCAGTGTTTTTCCTGGACTATGTTTTGGAATGATGCAAGACGACTAGCGTTGCTCTTACCCTCCAAACCAAGTTCAGCACAGAAGATTATAGAAATTTGTTATGTTTCCCATTCGCCTTTTTAATTAGGATGAGTTTCAAGGCTAGCAAGTCCTTTTCGAGTCTCCCATAAGCTCCCCAAAACACAGCCCTCTTTTCATTACATTGCATACCAGAAGATTTTAGTGTGATGTTTTTTTAAAACATTTACCCTGTAATAAGTTCACACACACATATATTGTCAACAATTTACAAAACCTAAAAAAAATTGACATTAATGATCTGTGTTGACAAAATCAACATACCTCCACTTACATAAGTAACACTAGAAAGAAAATTTAAGATTACAACAATGCTTGTGCTTAGTGCTTGTGCCTAAACTCATCATAGTCAAATACACTCCCTCATACGCTAATCTTATCCATCTCCTGTCTAAGAGCATTAGCCCTCACCAAGCTCCCAATGGTATTCACAGCCAACTTCAAGTCCTCCCATGGATTCCCAGGCACCACCCTCTTGTACAAATAGCTATCGAATGTCATCTTCTGCACATACTCGTCGGCGCACATCTCCACGAAAGCCTCCCTAGCCGGATTCGACCGGTAAAACACCTTCTGCAACACATCCAACACCTTATAAGTTGGCCAATATGTCTTGTCCCACTTCTCCAAATAGCTCCTCAAATCTCCCTCCTCCACCATTCTCTTCCCCCTCTCCGACCCCTCCACTATCGCCTCCGCGCACATCCGCCCGCTCTTCGCCGCAAAATATATCCCCTCCCCGGAACACTTGGTCACGTATCCGGCCGCGTCCCCCACCAGCGCCACCCTATCCGCCACCCTCCTCGGCCGGGGGTGTTCCGGAATTGGGTGTGCTTCCACTCTTATAATTTTGCCTCCCAAAATTTTGTCTTTAGCTCTCAACCTTGTTGCCAATTGGAACTTCTTTATGTCGCCTTTGTGGGTCACTGTGCCGGTGCCGACGGCGACATGGTCGCATTTTGGGAAAACCCATCCGTAGAAGTCCGGTGAGACGTCATCGCCGACGTACATTTCGGCGAGGTTCTCGTAGTAAATCATTTTTTCATCTGGTATTTTGATTCGCTCTTGGAATGCAATGGCGTACTCGTAGTCACCGGCGGAGATGGACTTGGCGACGCGGGAGTTGGCGCCGTCGGCGCCGATCACGGCGTCGACCTCTAACGTGCGCCGCTCGCCGACGCCGCCGGTCTTGGAGTCGTAGCCGGAGTAGTGGAGGAGGTAAGGGGAGTTTGGGGTTTTGGGTATGTCCATTTTGAGGAAGAGGCCGTTGATGAGGGTGGCGCCGGAGGCGGTGGCGCGGTCGCGGAGGTAGGCGTCGAGGACTTCACGGCGGACCATGCCGATGTACTCGTGGGGCTTGAGGGTTTGGCCGATGTCGACTGCGACGTTCGACGGCGAGATCATCTTCATCTTGGTGACTCGCCGGTCGATGATGTCCAATGGGAGGTCGAATTCTCCGACCATGCAGAGGGGTATGGCCCCACCGCATGGCTTGCAGTTGTCGAGCTTCCGCTCGATCAAGAAAGTCTCGATGCCGCCTTTAGCAAGCGTTTCGGCGGCTGAGCCACCGGCGGGTCCGCCGCCCACGACGGCGACTCGGAGGTTCCGGCCAGTGAGTTTGGGGCTGAATTTTCCTGCTGCGATGCGGAATCTCCGGTGTGTGGGTTGGGTGGAAATGGGCTTTGATAGGGTGATAGAGTGGTGGTTCTCCGGCGAGGCTTGGCGGAGTCCGACGAAGGTTTTGAGGGCGATGGCCATTTTTTAGTCTATGGGCAAGTGTGAGAGACTGAGAATCTGATACTTGCAGTTTGTTTGATTTATGGGGTGTAATGGATGGATATGGTTTGGGATATTTGGGGATTTCGACCGTTGGATTGGTAGGGATTGACGGTTGAGATTATTTGTGGATAATGAGGATGGATTTGATTTTTTTTTTTTTTTTGTTTAGTTGGAGTACTGGAAATGTGTGTTCTGGTGGCAGTTTTGATTCTTGGTGGCTTGAATTGAGCCACGTTTGCTGAATAAAGCTAAACGGAGGAAAGTATCGCAAAAAATTGTACCCTTTGGTTGCTGGATTGTTTTAACGTTTTTCTTGCAAGTCAGGCGGTACTGTGGCTTTAAAATTGGGCTACAAGCCTGCAACATGTTTGGTACTATCGATTAGTCAAAACATTTCATAATAGCATTTGGTGTGTTACAAACATTTAATCACTGTACGTTTTTAAAGTAGGTTTGGATAAAAAATAATAATAATAATAATAATAATAAAAATAGATTGTCACATAAAAAAAATAAAAAATAAAAAATAAAAAGAATAGATTGTCACATAAACGTTTTTTTAATAAAATGCGATGATATGGTACTTTATTATTTTATTATCCAATATGTTTCATGGCGTGGAACTCAATTATCTGATCATCTATTTATAATTTTATTAATTTAATTTTAAAATTAAATAAAAAAATTTAATTTTAATTTTATAATTTTTTCTTTTTTTTTCTTTTTCCCAACTACTATATTTTTAACGACTATATTTCAATTTCTATATAAACCATTCATTCTGTTTTCTTTCAATTATCAAGTTCACTTCTTTGCATTCTCAAATGTATTTTCTATTCTTTAAATCTTTATCTTTTTTATACAAAAAAACAATAACTTCATCATCACGAAATATACCCGTATCCGAGTCTATTTCTCCATTGAATTGGTTAGATTCAAATGGGGAAACTATTTTTGAAATCCATCGAAAAATAATGAACGTTGTGAGACTTTTATTATCGCCTGATAGGGTACGGGCATTCTTTCAACCTCGTAAGAGAAAATATATTAAACGTGATCGAGAAGAGGCAGCACAACGGTTATTCCGAGATTACTTTGTTGAAAATCCAATTTATCAACCAAACATATTTTGTAGAAGGTTTCGGATGCGACGTGAGTTGTTTTTTTGCATTTTGAACGGTGTTACAACATATGACGAATGGTTTATCTAAAAACTTGATGCCCTCGGTCGTATGGGGTTCACTCATATACAGAAGATAACTGCTGCAATTCGTACACTAGCATATAGAATTTCAGCTGATCTTTGTGACGAGTATATAAAGATTTTTAAGCACATTGCAATCGAAAGCTTAAAGAGGTATCGTGATGCTATAATTGTTGTGTATGCGGAGTGGTACCAATGCTTACCAAATGCAGACGACATTGCACGTCTACTTCGAGAAGGGGAAGAGAGAGGATTTTCCAGCTATATTTGGCTCTATAGATTGTATGCATTGGGAATGGAATAACTGCCCCACAATGTGGCATGGCACGTACACGGGAATAAGTAATAAACCAACCTTTATATTGGAGGCCGTTGCATTAAAAAATCTGTGAATCTGGCATGCTTTCTTTGGTATAGATGGTTCACATAATGACTTGAATGTTCTTGATTATTCCCCAATATTCAAGAGCATGATCAATGGTATAATGTCTCTGGTTAATTACGTAGTGAATGAGCATCGGCGTACAATGGGGTATTACCTATCTGATGATATATATCCTAAGTGGACAACTTTGATGTAGACCATCCCACACCTAATAACTGTCAAAGAGAAATTATTTGCTAACAAACAAGAAACTGTTAGGAAGGATGTAGAATGAGCGTTCGGCATGTTGTAGATGAGGTGGGCTATAACACATGAACCGGTACTTTATTAGAATAAAAAAGATCTAAACTGGTTAATGAGAACGTGCATCATATTACACAATATGATCATTGAAGATTAGGGCGAACACATTTTGCAATTGACACCTCCAACGAAACCCTTAAGTAGGATTTGCAATAGATCAGACAATGCTGATCTTAGGAGAGATCTCGGGAAACATTTGTGGATTCAATTTGGTGATGAAGATGCATAAATTTGTTGTAATCGAATAAAATGTTATTTTCATATTGCTGCTTAATAAAAAATATTTTAAAAAATATTTGTTTCTATTTGTTAAGAAATTTTAAAAAATTATTATTTAAAGAAATATCCATTACATATATAAATAAAAATTATATTAGCCTCCCACAAATAGAAAAAAAAAAATTACATTACATAGCTTCACAATTACCACTTTTATTGAAATGCGCATGTGACGACCCTGGTTTTTAGGCCAGCGTGTCCTGTGATGAACCGAAGATTTGACCCGATAACGGATCCGATATGCGGAAGCGAAAACAGAAAACAAGACTCTAAGAAGTCAAAGTGACCTTCCATGAGGTCATGGAACTCAATGTGAACTGATGCGGAAGCAAAAGGTCAAAATATGACAAATAAGCCCCTAGAGGCAAAATAGTCATTTTTGAAAAATGTGAATTCGGGTGCCATCGAGCACACCGCTAGAAGGATAACGAAAAACTAATCAAGATGGGCTCAAGAATCGCATGATTCGGAGTCCGAATGAAGGAGAAACGGCATGACGACGAAAAATGGACACTTAAAGATTTAAGGGCAAACTGGTAATTATCCAGGAAGAACCAGGTACAACCGAGCACACCGTTGGAAAGACAGCGAAAAATTGGACAAGTTCAAAAAAAAATTCACTTGAATCGGAATTCGGACGAAGGAGAAAAACCCAAAAGAAGAATTGACATCGTGGCGGCCCGATGAGGGCCATGGCGCACACGGTGCCCATGCGCGAGCCCACCGGCGGGCATGCCGGCGCCCAAAGACATTGCTGGTGGCAGCCCTTGGCTGTTGCTACATTTTTTTTGATCTACCCAGAACTGAGGCTTGAAACGGAGGTCAAGACGAGCTTTTCTGAAAAAACACGAAGAATAAACCCCCCCTAAAATCGAGTTTTCTACCTGACCACGAAAACAGAATCGAAAAAAACTCACTGTGAAATCTCCAAAATGCCCCTAGATCAGAACTGAACAAGAGAGTCATAAAGTTGCTAAATGAAAACTGGAAGCTGAAACTTCACGAGGGATTTCCAGTTTTCTGGAAAAACACGAAAAAGAAACCTCCCTTAAAATCACATTTTCTAAGCGACCATTCGAAAGAAGAAAATAAAACTGAGGTGAAAGGTCCATAATGCCCCTAGATCAGAATATGCAAAAAAAATGCGAAATGAATTCACAAGAGGCTCAAAACACAAACGATAAGGTTTTGCCCGGAAACAACCATGCAAGCAAACGTAACTTACTTATTTGGACGTGCTACAATGGTCCACGACTTAAAAATACCATCGATACAAAATCCGACCCCCCAATGGGCAAAAAGGCAAAAATGGAACTTGGAATGAAAACTCGGAATCTAAAAATACAAAATGGGATCAAATGACCGTTTGGCCCTAGGCCACACTTCATACAAGATTAATAAGACCCTATAAAAGAATGAAAATGGAATTCCCACACCCGATGCAACCGTAGTGAAGCAATAACTTGCGATTTTTCAAGTTTTTCATAACATTTCACGAAGTTAAAAAGTTGCATAGAATACAATATACATGTCATTGGCCTCCGGCCTCATCTCATACATATCAAATACATTGAAAGGAGTGTACTTAAGTACACATTATATACATGGAATCAAATATACATATTTTGACATACAAGTCTACAAAATGACATTTCATGCTAACATTTGCATGAAATGGAAACTTGAAAGCTACTCGACATCCAAGGAATGCTAGGCTTCACGAACCAAATCTTCGTACCTGAAATATGCCCTAGAATCGTAGAGGTGAGTAACATAAAGCTACTCGTAGGAGATGAGCATGCATCGATCTAACATTTTACAAATTTATCACCTTAAGGTGAAACATGTTAAAGGGGCTCATGCCACCTAACGTCTATGTCCAAGTGAGACTCGGGGAGCATCCTAAACTACCTTAGAGTCTAAGCAACAAGAATCATGATATACATACGTGTATGAAACGAATCATGGTTGGAATAATCTAAAGAACACGACAAAAAGAATGCTTGAGCATATATTAACATGAATTGCATTTTCAATACAATTGAACTAGGTTTAGAGTAATCCATATAACATAACAAAAGCATATTTGAATACAAGTTAACAAGAATCACATTATCCATGCAATTCAACAACAAAAGAGCATGTTATACAATACAACAAAGTTTAAGTTCTCAAAGCCATCAACTTAGAATCTAAAGCATAAAATAACAGTAGTGGTTCATGCCACCTAACGTCTATGTTATAAATGAATCAATAGGATCAATCCTAAGCTTTATTAGAACGTCAAAACACAATTTTCAATATCGATGCAATTTAACCAACATTGGAACTTCCAATACAACGCATAAAGCACAATTTCACAAAGTTAACATCCTGTAACTTAAAATGGAACGACAAATAAGAAACAACAAGTTACAACATCATCTAGTTATCAACTTGAAAATGAAATGCGAAATCAAATAAAATGGATACTTGGACGTCACGCCGGATCAGATCGACAACATAGTTACTTTAGGGTTACTAGCCCATGGGTAACCTCCCTATGTGCGCACTAGACTATATATAGAGGGACTATCCCCCGTACTAGAACCACGTCCTAGCCATAGTCAAACAACGACATCCCCAAGTTTCTAAAATCAACAAGTTGTGCAACAACGCATATATCAACAGGAATATGCAAGATAATCAACTATCTACTAAGCATAACCAAATTTGAAAACCTATACAATACATGCTCTAAATCCACAACTAATATGATATGATGAATATCGAATCTTCAGTGTGCGATTCGTTACACAATATGGATGAAAGATGTTAAACACGAAGTGTGCAAATCATTATACAAGGTAACAAATA